AAATGATTAGCAGTGGCAGCTTTCACCGTAATTAAACAGATCATAATTAAACATATTTTTGTTTTATGAGCTGTGGCAAATTCAGATTCTCTGTAAGGCAGCTCTTAGGAATGAAAGCAATTTGCATGTTATAGCAAAGAGCATGTTACAGGAGACATACTAGCAGATGGCTTCAGGGCTTGTTTGCATTCAAAATACATAGCACCTGGAAGCAAAAATGTGCTGGGCTTTCTCCATGATAATTTGGGGTTCTTATTCACCAGTTATTTAATTCCCAATCGTCCACAAACATGTCAGCACAGCTGGGCTTCTGCAGTGTGCTGGGATCTGCTTGTAAGACTCAGTCCACTCTGGTAGTATTTGCTGGTTGTTTCACAGAATGGAGTACATGTGAGGCTGGACTAGAATGCAGGTGATAATCTTTTAGTCTCTGCCTGAGAAAGAAGTTGCTTTTGTTCCTCTCTAAAAGTTGTTTGAATTGGGGAGATAATACCAGAGTCAGTAAAAATGCAGTGATTGGATATGAAGTCTATTTTCAGATCCAAGTTGAATTTTATGGCTTTAGAGTCAAATGAGTTGCAAGAGGAGGGATAAATATTGTTGAAATAAAGTCAAGTGAAACAAAAAATTTAAGCCTGGAGTGAGTGAACTGTTTGGGCTAAGCCTGATGCAACATGTTTTTTGTGTTTCCCCCTGCCTCATTTTGCTATAAACAGTAAGTCTCTGTATTTGAAAAGTCTTGTTTGTATTCTCTCTGTGATATACAAGTGCCTTCAGAGAACCTTGGATTATGATTTCATAAAATTTGTCTGAAAAACAGAAACATCAACATCACTGTTCTTTAGGCCAGGAGCTGAGATATCAAGAGGTTGTAAATAATTTTTCTGAGGTCACAGAGAGAGGTTGCAAAAGACTGATGACTTGACCCAGTTTTTCATGTTCTACGTCTTACCCAATTCCTGAACTACAAGACCATTTGCATTACAAGACCAGCTCTGCTGGTCCTCAGCTTTTCTGAACTGACTCTTGTTTTCTTTCTTAAGACAGGTGAGGCACAACACCCCCAAAACTGCCCTGAGACAGCAGATAGGATATTCCAGTTTTGAGTTCACCCTGCATTTCATTAACACTCATATTTCCCAGATTCAGGGAAGCTGACATTTGAATGTGCTTTCCTCTCCTGACCCATTTCCATAATGCAGCAGTACTGAGTACCAGTGACAGCTGTGAACTCTAAGCAAGTTCAGAAGGTGAATTATGATCATGTCTTCAGCTCACCTAATTATTTTCTGAATCACAACCAAACTGAAGGTGTTCTCAAAGGCAATGAATAAGTTAGAGGGAATTCCACTGCGAGTGTCTGAACTGCTGTCTGACTGCTGGGGGAATCAAACTCTTCTCAGCCTTTCTTTTCCAAATGCGTAACATAGCAAACAGCATCTCAGAATCAGGCCTTCAAAGGGATGGCTTTTCAGTGCATTGACTCAGAACTACACACTACACACATTTGGAGAAGTCACCTGCTTATTCCTGAATAATTGCATTCCCTGTTCTCCTACCACTTATATGAAACAGGTAGAATTTTAGATGAGCAACACATGCAAAATCAAGTCCTTTGGGGCAATGCATCACCTGAAGTGACAGACTCTATTCACCATAAACCACATACATAGCCCAGTGTGTAGGATGCTTGTGTGGCTTTGGTGACCAGCATAATTCTGCTGAAAGCCTGCTTCAGTCTGTATTTCTGTGAGATCTGATAGCACCTAGGCTGATTTGTGAACTCTGCTGAGGAAAGTAAAGCTTTGCATTTGGTTTCAACTCCCAGGAGTGCCAGGTGAGAAGTCAGACCTGCATCAGAATGACACAGAACAAGTAGGTCAGCAGTTTCATTGTATGCATCTTCTGTGTGCCTGTGTGTGTGTGTGCATGCATGAACTTGAGAAAAACCATGGCACTGAATCCTTAAATTTCTGCTCTGTCTTCTTTAAGCAAAAGTTTCACTGATGTTTCATGTGTAGCTGAAGAGAATCAAGGCTGGTTTGTCCTCATGTTGCAGTAAAACATGGGGCAACAATATATGGAGATGGTAAAGAGTTGCAGAATGAGTGGATTTCTTCTAACAGTGAGTGAGGGCTTTGGCTAAAAATAAGGAGAGTGGTGTTATTCTTTGTCGTGTTTCATCTGCCCCAATTGCACTCTCTCTGCTTAGTGCCTGCCAAACTGATAGCTTGCTGAAGATTTAAAGAACCAGCATTCACATTCCCTGTAATAGCAGCCAGAACAGCTGAGGTTATAATCTCTTCTTCAGGCTTTCCTTCCCAGAACCTGCAAGAAGCAAGCATCTTTACCCCCACTCCTCTTATTCTTTATGTCACAGGCACTGTCCTAAGCTGCTGCCTCGGCAGGTTGGGCAGCTTGGCTTGTTTACCATGCCGTGAAAACACACAGCATTTTGGGGGCAGCTGGACAGTAGGGGATTGACAGCGTGTCTGGCCGGGGATTATAATCCCTTTCAGGCAGGGGGAGTTTTGGAAATGGGGGCAGCCTGGAATGATTAGGCTGTTCTCCGGAGCAGGTGCAACTATGGGCAGGAGGCAAGGGAGACAAAGAAGAGTTCATCGCCCAGATAAGCAGTCACAAAGTGTGGGTCAGCCTTTGCCGCGGAGGAGCAGTGCCCCTGCAGGGGCTCTTGTGCCGAAGTCACCGGGCGGTGCCAGCCATTGTCCATGGCTGCCCTCTTAAGCCCTGAGCAAGCCGGACCAAGCACCTTATCTGGTTTTTATAAGAAGCCAAGGGGGAAGAAAAAATCAAGAATGAAAAGCGGCTGGGGTTTGGTTTCGCTGGGGCAGCTGAAGCGGAGTGCCCCTGTGGCCCCTTGAGCCGCAGCCGAAGATGGAGAGCCAGGGAGGAGGGTTTGCAGCCCGCTGCCGGACAGTTTTTTGTGTGTACATCATTAATTCTGTGGGATGGGCCGCCTGCCGCCCCTGTTGCCGTGTTCTCCAGGCCGGAGGACGGCGGCGCTGGCAGAGCCGGGCCGTGCCCACCATCCCGCTCGGGGGCCTGGGGGACGGGGAAGGGCGTGCGAGAAGGGGATGCAGCGGGAACGGGGAGCGAAGGGAGGCTCTGCCTCCTGGGTGCTCGCAGGCGGCAAGGTAGCCAAAGGTGTGCCAGGCTCCGCCGTGCCGCCGATTGTGTCCGGCTCCCGCGGCTAAGGGACAGGCTCGGAGCGGGGACACGCCGAGCATCCTCCAGCCCAGCCCGGGGGATGGGTTAAGGAGCGGGGTCGCGGAG